TTCCTGCTCTGAAGCTCACATCCCTCTTAGTTCCCTGCAGGTGCCCAAACCCAGGGTGGGCCTCCTCTTTGGGGCAGGGGACACGGGAGCATGTAGGTAAGGAGGTTTGGAGTGAGTCTGCTTATCCCAAGGCCAGTGCAGTGCAGAGCTAACCTCCCAGGTCCTCCTCCTCCTCCTCCTCCCAGGGCAGGTAGTGAGGAAAGACAGAGAACTGTGATGGAGGAAGGATCGGCCTCGGAGATGAGCAAAGCTGAATTGTGGGAGGGATGAAAGTCATGTCAAGTCAGAGGCCCAGGGGTGTTGGAGAGTGAGGGTGCTGCTGGCACTGATGGGGGGACAAGGGAGAAGGTGCTGAGTTCTTTGGTTGAAGAAAGATGGACAGCTCAATTCTCACCTCCTGGGGAGCCTGCCCCTCATGGGTGGCCAGCCCTCTAGCACCTTTATTTGCATCCTGTTGGCTAATAACTCAGCCACAGCTGCTAATGTTTGGATGGAGGCGCTCTGATCCGCCAGCCTGTAACTGACTTTGAGCCTCCTGCACCGCGAAGCCACCACTCCCCCGCCCCGCCCCCTAGTATTTATTCAGTGGGAATGAAGGGAAGAAGGGAGCAGGGAGGGAGGATCTAGAAGAGAAGTGGAAGGCCCGATGGGATCTTGGAGACTCTTGTGCCCAGGAAGGAGGCAGGAAGAGAGAGGGGGGAAGAACAGTGAGAAACCAGAGTCCCTCTCTACTTGAGACAAAAGTTGAAGGTCCGACTTCTAGGAGAATTTCAGAACCAGGAGGGATAGGAGCAGACTCCAGGAAGCAATGGCACGCCTTCCCTGGGGAACTTTAAACGCAGGGGAATTTCAGTATCGTCTGGCTGCCTTTGTGGTTTGCTGTGTGTGAGCATGGAGGGTAGGGCGAGGGGGTGGAACAACCACCACCTCTCGGTTCTGCGCTCCAGACTCACAGACGGCATCTCAGCTCGTCCCAAAAGGGTCCCAACAGCACAGGTGAGGAGTCACAGGAGTCGCCGTTCTGCACAGAGGTCAGCACCTGGCCCCAGGTCACAGGGCTAGGAAGTAGCAAGGCCGGTGACATTCAAACCCAGGCAATGTGATGCAGAACCCACTCTCTGAGCAACGACGTTACAGCAACAGTGGGTCACACTGGGGTTAAAGGTGCCGGGGCTGGGACTCCAGCTCAGATCTTCCAGGCTCCGCAATCCTTGCTGGGGGTGGTAAGGAGGGTTCAGGGCAGCCAAGACATTTCTGACACCGGCTCCCCAATTTCCCAGGGTGCCCAAGGTTACTAGTATTTCTCTACCACATTCATTTCCAGAGTCTATTGTTCCTTCCTTAGTCCCCTTCTTACCACCCCACCCACTCTTTACAGCACCTCCCTGGGGTGGGGATACGGGCATCGTCACCGACCCACTCACCCAACACCCCTCCTCCCTGGGCCCTTATCCATGGGCCACAGCAGGCACAGTGACTAGGCCCATAATACTTTCAGGAGACAATGAAAATGTGTCCGTTTCTTTTAAAATCAGAAGGAGAGAGAAATTCATGTTTAGGTGAAAAAGAAAATTTAAATATGTAATACTGATGTATTCCTCTTTATGCCAGTGCAGTCATAAAATACAATTTTTAGTAATTTATGATTGAGGAAGGGGCCCAAGAAAGCCAGAATGCAGCCCCGCCCACAGCCCCGTAACAGGAATATTCTCTCAAACTCCCTTCACCAGGCCCTATTCACGGCCCCCTCACCGGCCAAAGGGCCTCCCTACACTGGGGGAGAAATCTAACATAACAGGACCAACATCCACATCGGAAAAAGGGAGCCCAGTTTCTCGGCCCAGCTCTGGGTGACCTGGGGTCAGTTTTTTCAATTTTCGGAGGTTCCACGTTTCCTCCTCTTGGGCTAGAATTGGTCACAAAGATCCATCAGCTCTATGGTCCTGATTTTTGGATGGGCTGATTCCTGGAAAGCGTTAGTGTTGGCCCGGCATTTAGACAGACCTGCTTCTACTGACCGGTCAAGGTAACGGGACAAGTTAAGGAATCTCTGTGCCTCTGTCCCCACACCTGGGACACCGGGCTAACAGTGTCTACATTTTTCACAGCCTCTGGCAATAGTAAATGCTCAAAACAAATGCTAAGTTTTTGTTACTATTATTGTTTGTGATTCTACTTCTGAGAATTCTGCCTCAAGAAGAATACAGCGTTATTATTTGTAAATACTCCATCTAGTGTCACTGGCCCTCATTGTCTCCTGGCTGCAGCCTGTCTCTGGCAACTTGTTCTTGGTTCCTGAGCTCTGCCTCACGCCTCTGTCCCCTCCCTCACGGGGAGATGGCCGAGGGGAAGCGTCTGGCACCCACCATGGCTAGTTGTCCAGGGGCCAGGGAGGAAGTGAGCGGTAAAGAGAGGTAAGCTGGCAAAGACTGCATGCATGCCCCTTTCCCTAATTCCCTCTTGTCACTTCTCTCCCACTCATCTCCCACTTCCTCTCAAAGAAACACAAGAAAGTTCTAACCCGAACTCAGGAACACCATCTTTTTCTCACCTCTTCAGTGCAAATGTCCGTCTGCCTCCAATCTGCCGGCACAAGAAGCTCCGGTAACACTCCTCCTTTTACCAGACCTCAGTCCTTTGATTACTGGCCTGGCTCCTCCTCCCCCATCTCTGTCTTGTCACTCTCCCTCTCTGGAAGTCCCCTTGGGGACGCAGACAGCCCCTACCTGCAGCTTTCCAGCCCCTCCAGTGCGACCCCCTCCGGAGACGTCCCTGACCAGGCTGCCACCTTTGCCCCTATCCCTGGCCTCTAAGGGACCTGCCCAGCGGAGTGGTTGTTGCCATGGAGACCCACCTGCACCCAGGCCCCACTCTCCTCTCAACCCCTAACCTAGTTGAACCCCTCCCAACACACACACACACACACACACCCCGAAAGAGAGAGGCTCAGTATAGACCTGACCTGTACTGCTTTCCCTCTCTTCCTCCTGGCTCCCCACCCAGGTGCAGACCCACAGTTCACAGGCTGTCACCCCGCAATCCAGGGCACAGCAGCCTGCCCCCACAATGATAAGAGGCCAGCAGAAGCTCTTATGCGACGGAAAGACGGGTGGGGGTGGGACAGGGATTGGTTTATAGTAGGTCCTGTTCCCCAGACATTGCCATTTCCCTAACCTTCAAGTGTCCCCCTCCCATCCAAACCCTCGCCCCCCGCGCCGGAGGCTGGCTTGGACTACAACTCCCAGCAGGCCGAGCAGCCTGAAGTCCTGGGCTGGGGGAGCAAGGCACGCTGGGAGATGGAGTCTCGGCGTGTTGCACCTGCCGCAGGAACCAGCGAGGGGGGGAGGGTGGATGGAGAAGATGGAGGAGGGAGTGCGGGTGCGGTGGGAGCAGGCTGCGGGGCCTCTTTCCCGGAACCCAAGCCTTTCCATCCTCTGCGGAAGCGGAGGGACACATGCTCACTCGCTGCCCTTCTCCAAGGTCCGGCAGAGAAAGAGCCCCCTCCCCCACCCTCCCTCCGCCCCCACTGAGCTCTGCAGCTCCAGCTCAGACTTCCAACCAGGAGTTGCTCCAGGCTGGGACGGACCGGCGTGACCCAGCCGGGAAAGGGGTGAGAGAGGGCGGGCTGGAGCGAGGCACTGGGAGAAAGCGAGTGTCCACAAGTGCAGGCAAAATAAGGACCTGCAAGCACTATGCACATGAGCTCAGGGCGCCTCCCTCATCAGGGTGGTGCGCTAAAGGCACCCGTTCTCACTGGTCTCCCGATCCCCTCCTCCCCTCCTCTCCCGCCCCTCCCTCGGACCCGCCGGTCACTCACTCACCACCTTCCAGCGATCCTTGACCACGTAGTTGGCCGGCAGGATGTCGGCCTGCTCCCCTCCCCCACTCATGTTGGTTTCGTCCTTAGGAGCAGCCGCTAGGCCCTGCATCCGCCAGCCGGAGGGAGGGGTGTCCGCAGGGCCTGCCCTGGGGGGGCCATCTACCTGGGGGAGTGCGGAGGGGCTGTGAGTGGAGAGGACCAAGGACCACCTTGCAGAGATGAAGGGGAGCCCCATCCTTCCCAGGCCCACCAGGCAGATGCTCCGGGGACTGCTGGGGGGAGCAGCCTGGAGGTCAGAGGAGAAGGCAATTACTCTCCCAGGAAACGAGATACAAACTACAAACTAGAGATGTGAGAACCAGCAACACACACGGATGGGAAAGGAGAGGACAATGATGGTGAGCAGGCGGTGGGGGAAGTGTTTCCCAAAGAGACGTAGGCTAGTCAATGTGGGGGGGACTGCCCACCAAGGAGCACACCCGCCTGGGACCCAGGCTTGTACTGGGGAGACCTAGGCCGAGAAGGACCCATCTGATGACTCCACCTGTGGCCCCTGGCACCCACCCCTTCCCTGTGCCACAACATGCCAGGGAGAGGTGCAACCGAGGCTATTGAAATGGGAGAACTGCTGGCGAAGGGGTGACCCATGGGGACACACAGCAGAGTGACAGAGTGGGTTCTCTACCTGCGAACCCACCAGGGGAGATGTGATCACCAGAGAATGAGGAGACACCCAGCAGCCCCTTGAGCCTGGTGCTGAGTGAGGGGATGCAGTGTGCCTGCGTGCAAGGATGGGAGTAAGGAGGAGAACATAAGGCAATGGACCCAAGACGTGGATTTTAAAGGGATAGCAGCGATCAGGCCTCTCCGAGGGAGAGAGGCAGGTTGAATTGGGAGGAACTGGGGACTGCAGGGAAGCAGCCGAACAAATGAGACGCAGGGAGGAGCAGGTCTGGGGGGCGTGGGGTGAGAGAGCCTTTGACCACACCTCTCGGTGTCTGCCCAGGGACCAGGAAGAACACAGCTCCTGTTGCATTAGGACAGGTACAAGCTGGGTATCAGGGAGCATGTCCCAACTGTGAGGGCTGGGAGCCAGCCAGTGTTACCCAGGGAAATTCAAGGCTGTGCATGTGTGTCTGCGTGTGTACCTGTGCATGTATCCCTCTGCATGAGTGTGTGTGTATGTATGTATTATGTGTCTTTTCTATTAAATGTATTTGGGTGACATTGGTTAATAAGATCATATTGGTTTCAAGTGTACATTTCTATGATATATGTCCTGCATATTACATTGGGCCCAGATGACCACCCAAAGTCAAGTCATCTTCCATCGCCATGTATTTGTCCCCCTTTATCCTTTTGCATCCCTGTCTGTATGTGCCTGTCCGTGTGTGTGCGTGCACGCGTGCGTGTGTCTTTGTGTCTATGCCTGTACATCCACATCTGTGTGTGCCTGTGTGTGTTGTGTCTCTGTGTGATATGCACGTGTAGGCAGGGAGCCAGAAGAGAGAACTTGAGATCTCTGCCAGCCCAGTCCAGGAGCGGAACCAGGGTCTTTTCTTCCCTTCTCCCCCTACACTGTTTATAAGCGCACCGCTCTGCCCTCACAATGACCTGGCATCGCAGACGGAAGGAAGTCACTCCGGCTGGGGTTGGGGTGGGGTGGGAACTCCATAGACCTGTCTTGCCTTGGGATGGGATAATGCCCCCAGAGCTGCTGTGTCTAGCCATCCTGATTGGGGGGCAGGGGGCAGCATGGAATGCTGACGGCCTGGAGACAGCCTCCGACAGGTCATGGTGTGCCATGAGGGACAGGTAGAGAAGGGATCTTCAAGGGGAGGGCGCTGTCACTCTTTTTCTGTCTTTCTTCGAGTGACTCGGCTGGCTGTTCCCTCCAGTCCGCACAACTGCAGGTGTCAGAACTGATATCAAACAGGCCTTTGCCCTGTGGCACATGGGGCAGGAACTTGCAGGGCAGGATGAAGGGGTGTGAGGGTTGGGAGGAGGGTGGAGAGGGGGGAGTCTGGAATACATGTGGAGGAGGCAGATTGAAGACAAGACGAAAGGACCCGTTGACCAGTAGGGAGGGATCCTTGAGGAGTTGACAGGGTGACCTCTGGTGGGCCTCGCAGTCCTGTGATGGTGGAGTCTATAGGTTGATGGGGGAAGTTTAGGTCCTGCTCCCATGTATTGATGGGCAAGCCCAGAAGGAACAGATGAGGTGGCAAAGAGTGGACACAGGAGGACAAATGAGGGGTCCCTGCTTCTCCCTACTCACCATCCTTCCCACGCCCTGCCTCAGAGGACTACACTCAACTCAGACTGGGATTGGGTGACGAGAAAGTTGGCTGCCCCATCACTGCCCCCTCAGGACCCCTGGGGTGTGTGGTGGCATGGGTGTGAGTGGGCGCGGGCTCTCAGGGGAGGTTTTTAAGGACATGTGTCAGAGCGCATGTCTGAGAGTGTGGGGCTGGTGAGGAGAGCGAGGTCTGAGTGGCTGGGAGCTCGTGGTATGTGAATGTAGGTGTAGCTGTGCAAGGTGTGCGCCAGGCATGTGTGGGAATCCGGGAGCCCGGGGAAGGAGAGGCAGCGGAGACCAGTGAGGGCTGATGGAGGTAGGTGAGGAGATGTGTGGGAGGAACAGGGGAATGGAGGGGACCAGGAGTGGCAGGATCAGAGGAGGGGGTTGGGTAGAACAGAGACAGGTGAGAGGGCACGATGGCAGGGGCAGCCACAGGACCCTGCGAGGGGCTCTGGGCGCAGCTGAAGGGGTGGGGAAGTTGGTAAGGAGGCCGGTGGCAGGAGTGGAGGGCAGGACAAGGGAGCGAGGTTATGGAGGCAGCTCAGAGCGACTGGTCAGGGGGACCGAAGATGAAGCCGCGGAGACGGGGACAGAGGTCGCAGTGAGGAGCAA